CTGAACCGCACACGATGCTCAGACCAAACACTACCTGAAACAAAACAGCAAACTAAAACAGAAAATAACCGAACTAAACCAAAATTAAGAGTATCCTTGCAAATTAGCCAGGCAATTTTTTCTACCTGATAATTCAAATTTTGCAAAGATAATTCAGGCACTCTGATCTTATTTAAATCATACATAGGCACTTTCTTAAGGTGAACTTGGCTAAAGAAGACAAACACGGACTGAGATGTCCATGAAAAAAAGATACTCCCAGAGCTCAACCCACCACTCGCAACAAATCAATGGTCCAAGTACCTGCACAGCCTTGAAAAGCTGGTCGATATTATGCACACTTCTTCCTGGACCTCAACCACCACTTCCAGGAAAGTTTTTAGTAGGAAAGGTTTTGTCTGATGCACATTCCCTACATAGCAAATCTGAATGAAATCAGTAAAATGTTTTCAATTCTCAGCTACTACTACAGTGTTTTTATTATTTCCCTTTATATTTACTGTAATTACGACTTTGAATACTTCTAAAATGAAAGCCATCCTCTATGTCACTCAACCATAAGGCATTAAAATCAACCAGAGTCCTAAGTCAGAGCTGATTAAGATGAGTTAATGAAGTAACAAAATATTTCAAGATAAAATATCTAAGTAGATATGCAAAAATGTAATTGCAAGACTTACCTATCAGCCCCTTCTCGAGAGTGAAGGTTTTGTTTGTAAACATACATTCAAAAGCCACAATGTGGAAAATCTTGTTCACTGTATTGTGAGTCCCAACTATTCGAATATACCTGAAGGTAAAAAGAAAATGTGTTGAAAATGAGTTGCCCTCATCCCCAATGTGAGGACAACAGGATAAGACACATCATTTAAACGCACAGTGTCCCAGGAAATGGAGTAAAGGACGCTCTGAACCCGAGTTCACACCCTGTACCTGCTTCTCCAGGCTGGCTCCAACTGAGCCTGGGAGAATTACAGCAAAATTAGAAAGCTGTCACTTCCCGGAGAATTAAGTCAAACTTAGATGTGATTTACCTAGAAAATCAAACCAGGTACTACTTAGTTCAACCCTTGACTGTCAGTATGATGGTATGTTCACGAGTCATTTGCAGTGGAGAAAAACAAACAGCTTCTGCCCTCGCCTTACGGTTGGGAATGTGCCTGCGTATGTGTGGACCAACAGAGGCACGAGCCAATGCTTTCCAACTCATGAGAGATTTCCTTCATTGGAGAAAAACGCAGGAAATCAATATTGCTTTCTGGTTTAAAGGAAAAATCCACAGAAACGACTGAAAACCACTCACAGTTGCTTTTATTTCAATATTGCCCGTAAGTCTCTGTGCGAAGTTAACCCTGTATACTGACGCCAGCCCCGCTCCCCTCAACCTGAGAGCTGAGGAGCCTTCTTCTCCTGACAGAGGACGTGATCTGCAGAGATGGCCCGGCCTTGCAGCCTCCCTCCTGCCACACAGATCTGGCATCTGCACTCAGTGCAGACTTTCACCAGGCAGGTCTTGAGCATCTTGACCTGCTCACCCTCTTTATCTCCCCGGAGGCGTCATCTCCGACAAACAAGCATTAACCTTGGAGCATCTTGTTCCCTTTGCTCTCCAAAGGGACCTGACAGTTCACAGGTTAATGAACAGACAAACTCACTCTTCTGAGTGCCACAGCATTCCATGGGGGATGTGCCACACACTGTCTTCCTGGAATTCAAAGGAAGAAACCAGGAAAAATAACTAGATTAACTGATCACGCTGTCTCGAATTATGAACTATGCACTCTGAAGGATGGGGCATATTAAATGAACAGATTTCAATTAGGCTCTGACAGACTGGGCAAGGTTTTCGTAATATCCTCCCTCTGCTGTGTAAAACAACCTTCAATTTAGATGATATAATTTTACTTCTGAGTTAATCGCTGTTCACTAATTCGGTAATTTCCTTACATTTCTCATCACTCCAAGTTAACTGTATAATGTAAATGCCGATTTGAAAAATTCACATTAAGGAGACTATATTTGGAGTTTTTATATCATGGGCTATTTTCCCTCCTGTTTCTTCAAGCCTGGACCTCATGGCATTCCCTGTGCACCTCATTTAGCCATCTGTTCCTTGACAAGAACTGATCACTCATCTTCATAACCAATATTAATGCTCTCTCCTGGACTGGCTGTTCGATGCGCTCATACCCACTGCAGGAGATGCCACTCTCCCTGTGCTGAGAATCAGGACAACTGGTACCCTAAGCAGAGCCCACTGGTTAAGCAGGAGGTTGGCCCTGCTCTCCTCTCTCGAGCCCTCTTGGTAGGCAGAAGGTGCTGGTTTTACTGGGTTTGGAAGAGCAGGTGAGTGGGGCCATTTAAAATCCGTGCTTAATAGTCTGGATAGCACAGAGTCTTTTGTCTTTTAATATGTTGGTAGTGACAATCTCCCTGCTGCTTTCTGGAAGGGAACGGGTGTCGATTAAACCCAGTGCCTTGGCCTGACTCTAATTTGTCCATTTCCAGAAACCCACAGAAACCCAACCAGCATAGCATTTTAACCGCACGTGGCCATGAGAGCTTGAGCGCGGCTGCCTGTAACCTTGGAGGGAATGTGATTTGGCGGAATTTGATCAGCTCATTTTCCTATTCCCTAGATGGAGTCTATCCCCAAAGGAGAGGCTTCCTATGCACAAAAGACGAGCCTGGAGGTGACTCCCAGGGCCCTTCCCTGCTGGCAGTTCTGAGGGTGACAGTCCAGGCTGACCCCGGATGTTGCAGTAATCCCCACCTCCCTTTTTTCGTTTTTAGCAACATTATACAGAACCAGGCTTTCAGAGAGCAGTCACTCCCCAGATTTTCACTGGTACAAATATCAGAAATGGGAGAAAGTGTGCAAACTCCCTCTCCCCACCACCCAGTTATAAGCAACTGAAAATAAAAAAGTTGTACTGGAATACATTTTACAGCCTTAATGGTAGTGTTTGTGACAACAAACAAAATACTAATATACTTGTATGGTTGTAATAGCAAAGAGATGCCTCCAGATAAAAAGTTCTATATAAATGAAGATAATGTTATCTCTGCTGCATAATCCTGAATTCAAATTAGCAATTCGCCACTGTATATCACACTCTTGATAAGCCTGTTATGTGTAATGCTCATAACAGGTTTAATTATTCTAGCGCTACCATTCTAAGTCTCTAAAATTATAGTATAATTTATAAAAATGGCATAAAGTCCTTACTCGGTATATTTTTCTTTAATTAAAAAAAAAAAAGATTTTTAGCTTTTGCCATAGGGTGCATGCATTCGCCAGAGAGAGGCAGAGAGGGAAAGTGAGAAATCACCCCCTGGGGAGATGGCCATGTCACAGTCCCTTCTCCATTCTCCTCTCAGGATTTTGGGCAGGCACGTGCATGCACCTGGCGTGATTCTCAAGCCACCAGGTCTGGGACTTGAACAGTGATCTGCCATGTGGGAGTTCAGTACCTTAACCACCACGTTTCCTGTTGGTCTCAGGTACGTATTTTAAAGAACAGTAATGTCATGACAGCCCCATGGTTAAGCACTGCACAGGGGACCAGATCCCACACACCCAATCAGTCTATGAGTTCCAGCCCTGTTGCCTTGAAAACCACACTAAGTGTATATGCACCCAGAATACTGATGGGAGGGGGAACTGGAGAATGAAGGGCTATGATGTGAGCAGGCCAGGTGCCCTCGCTTTCGTGAGCATGCACATGCACACACAGTCTGGCATTAACAAACAAACAAACAAAAAAGTCAATGTCAAAAGAAGTCATACTGAGGCCAGCAGGTGGCGTGGTGGTTAAGGCAATGGACTCTCACATGGCTGACTGCGGTTTGAGTTCTGGACCTGGCAGCTTGCTTTCTCAATTTCTCTCTCTCTCTCTTTCTGGTCAAATTAAAAAAAAAAATACTAAATAAAATAAACATAATTCTTTACAAAACAAAAAAGAAGCCATACTCCTTTTTCTCAAGCAAGAGGTTGAAAATATTCTGGACTTTTTCCTATGCTCACAATCTACACAAGAAATCGCAAACAAGCATCAATTAATGCCCCAAACTCAATGACGGGAGTTGCATTAAGAATTCAGAGGCTGGGACCAGCAGATGGCATAATGGTTACATTGCTGACTCCCACATGGCCGACCGTGGTTTGAGTCCTGCACCTGACAGTTTGAAGCTCACGCTGGGTACATGTGCATGCATGCCCAAGATCCCGAGAAGAGAGTGGAGAAAGGACTGCAGCATGACCATCCCCTCAGGGGTAATTTCTTGCTTTCTGTCTCTCTCTGTCTCTGGCAAGCGCATGTGCCCTATAGCAAAAATCTCTTAGAAAAAAAATAATAATTCAGAGGCCTGGGCCAGCAGGTGGCATGGAGGTTAAGGTCCTAGACCTCACATGGCCAACTGCATAGTTGAGTCCTGAACCTGGAGGCTTGAAAAACTTGCTAGGTACATGAGCTTCCAAATCCTGAGAGGAGACTGGAGGAGAAAGGACTGCAACCCCCTGGGGGTGATTTCTCACTGTCTCTCTCTCTGTCTTTCTGTCTCCCTCTGGCAAGTGTATACATCCTATAGCAAAAATTAATAATAATAATAATACAAATAATAAAATTCAGAGTCCCTGCCTAGCTCAGGCAAGAAGTGCCTTGATCTCTGAGCAATGACTGGAAGGAGAGGGAAAACAGTGTAGGTGCTTCCTTAATTGTGGGCATACTTCCTTAATGGGGCTCATAATGGAGCATACGGAAAGTAGAAGAGAAGTTATTGCCAACCAAGCTATTGAAAATCCAAGAGACAAGGATGGGAGGGTCCTCTCCCTCTTTTCACTTTTTTTTTTAAAGTAAAACTTGGTTCTAGATCATACTGTCTAAACAGAAGACATAGATGCCACATATCCCCCCCGCCCCCAGGATATTTATTTATTTTTTTTGCTATAGGGTGCATGCACTCACTGGAAAGAGACAGAGACACACCCCCTTCCCAAGGAGATGGCCACGCCACAATCCCTTCTCCACTCAGGACTTGGGGCACACATATACACATACCTGGCATGTTTTTCAAGCCACGGGTCTGGGACTTGAACTGCAGAGTCAGTCATGTGATATTTAGCCCCCCTAACCACCACATACCACCAGCTAGCCCAATACTACATTTTCTTGTCACAAGAGATGTTGAATAACAGGTAAAATTTAGGATTTTTTTTCTTTTCAGCACCATCTCTTCAATCCACAGTTAGACTGATTTCACCTGGTAATAAGGGCAGTGGCAGCTTGTGACTTCCTCAGCGTGGAGAGGGGAGCACTCACAGAAAGATAGAACAGATATTCTTTGTTCCCTCTGAGGTCCTCAACGGCAGCTCAGACAGTTGGAAGATAATTAAAACTTGAACAGTGCTGGAGGAAGGCAGATACGCAACAGATTGGCCATTTCTGATGAGCATGAATGCTGTCCACATGAGCCCTGCTGTTCATCTGTTCCCAATACTCTCCTCCCTCCCCTGTGTTCACTGACTCCAAGTGCCTGACAAAGGCTGTGTCCTCGACACAGTACGAAACAGGATGTTTCCATACAGAGGTTTCTAGGAGCTCTAAGACTGTGGGTGTAAGAGATTCTGTCTTTTTAATAAAGTAAAACATAAGCTCCTTCAGCACAGCACACTAAAAGTGAAAGACACTACAGGTTTTTGAAACAAGATGTCCTTTGGAGTCCAACAGAACCAGGTGTATAGCCTACTCCATAACTTAATGGGGTGTAACTTCTAGAAAAAAACATTTT